CAAAGAGTTATGCTGCCTGTACTGGGACCCTGGGCAGCCTGGTCTAGCATTAAATGAGGAGGTTGGTGGCCCTGAACGTGGCAGGGGGTTGGAGATTCATGATCCTTGAGGTCCCTTCCAACCCTGGCCATTCTGTGATTCTGTGATTCTGTGGGAGAGGCTGGCACCAGCCTGGAGGTGATCTGACGTACAAACACAGCATTTCAGGCTGGCACAGACTTTAAACATGGCGATGTGCTGACAGGATTGCCACTTTTGATGGTAAGGAATTGAGACAGCAGAAGAAAATAAAGCTCTCTGGAGATCTGCATGTGCTAGTTTTACTGCAGAAGGTGATAAAACTGCTGGAAGCAAGTTGTCTCCATGCAGAATTGTTGCAATACAAACAACCTGGAAGTGAGATGTATTAATTTCAGCAACTTAATTTTGTTGGTGGTGAAGGGCTTGGATTTGTTTGTTTTTTCACTGCGGGGACAAATTGTTGCTCTTTGCCATCAAGAAGCCTGTAATTCTAATTGGTGTTTAGATACAAGACATAAATTACCAACAAAAGATATAATGTACATTTAAAGTGTAGATTAGGTGCGTCTGAGGAAAAGCATAACCTGTATTCTGCATCTGTTATCAACAGATCAAGTTTTAACAGCCTCACCATTGTATTTAAAATAATAAAAAATGGAAAGCTATATGCTTGCTGCCACTTCAAACAGCATGGGATTTAATTGTTCCGTAGAAAAGGTCCATCTTTATCCATAATTTCCTAACTGAATAGTTAGGTGATAAAAAGAGATAAGTGGGTACAAGAGAGGAAGACTGGATGGCTCAAGGAACTGATACAAAGCGATTAATCTCAGCTCTTCAGAACATGTTGAAAGCAATTTGTATAATAAAGAAGTACTGATTTTGATGCACGTTTTTATAAGCGATTGGCAACCCTGCCTGCAGCAGGGTTTTGGAATTTGATGGTCCTTGAAGTCCCTTCCACCCCAAGCCATTCTATGATTCAAGTTACCAAAAGCAGCTGGTAGTTCTGATCTCTGTTCGTTTTCTGGTTTACGTACCAGAAACAAATTGTCATTTAACTTCAAAAAGGGGTCAAAATAATTACTAACGTTTTTCAGTGTAAAAATATCAGTTAAAATACAGAACTGTATCAGCCTGTGCAGGCTGGATGTGGCTCTGGGCAGCCTGGTCTGGTGTTGGTGACACTGCACATAGCAGGGGGTTGAAACTAGATGGGGACTGTGGTCCTTTTCAACCCAGGCCATTCTATAATTTTGTGATTCTATGATTCTATGTTTGTTACAAATGATACAAATACACAAATAGAGAAGACAAATGACTAGTTTTGATAAGATTAGAAAGGAGAAATAAGGGTAGATGGTGTTGCTTGACTTATGAGAAAAAAGACATAAATTACATAAACAATTAGTATAAGAATTTTTCTATGGGAGTCGTAGCACAGAAAAGTTTTAAGAATTACTGATGGTGGATGTTGAAGTCCCTCTGCCTTTTTCTTGTTCCTGTGAAAGGATGAGGCGGAAGATGTGCTGTGTTGCATTGAGTATGTGCACATCAAAGACTCAAAATTATTTCTATAACTTCCTCGTCAAGACGATTAGAAACTGGACTAAGAGTGAGAAAGGCTGTTACGTGCCATTGAGTTTAGTATGGAAAGAAAAAGGTTGAGGTATGGCTGTAATCATAGAATCCTAGAATGGCCTGGGTTGCAAAGGCCCACAGTGCTCCTCCAGTTCCAACCCCCTGCTGTGTGCAGGTCGCCAACCAGCAGCCCAGGCTGCCCAGAGCCACATCCAGCCTGGCCTTGAATGCCTGCAGGGATGGGGCATCCACAACCTCCTTGGGCAACCTGTTCCAGTGCCTCACCACCCTCTGGCTCAAAAACTTCCTCCTCATATCCAACCTAAACCTCCCCTGTCTCACTTTACAACCATTCCCCCTTATCCTATCACCATCCACCCTCACAAACAGCCATTCCCCCTCCTGTTGATACGCTCCCTTCAAGTTCTGGAAGGCCACACTGAGGTCTCCCCACAGCCTTGTCCAGTTCCCTCAACCTTTCCTCATAGGAGAGCTGCTCCAGCCCTCTGATCATCTTAGTGCCCTCCTCTGGACCCACTCTAAGAGCTCCACATCCTTCCTGTTCTGGGGGCCCCAGGCCTAGACACTAATGTGAGCATAAAGACATAGAGAGCATGCAGCACTGGAGATGGCACCCATTTTATATGCCTGGTGTGGTCGTGGTGGTCACAAGATCCTTAATGAACAGAGATGAAGAGTTTGGTAATGGCAGACGATGAAGAACTCCAGTTTATCTAAATTCAGCCCGATCTGGCAGCTTCACATTAGGGATCTCAGAGGGGCATGAAAAGGTAACCAGACCTGAGTTAATCAGCCAAGAATCTTTATCGGTTGTATTATGGGGTAAGAAACACTTTCTGCCATGTCTGAGAGCAAAGGTTACAATGTGCAGTATTATTTGCTTCCCGTAATTTATTACACACTTCCCAGTTCATCAAAGCACAATTTCCTTTAGGTTGCTGAAGCAACCCATTGTATTTCTTATTTTTCACGGGGAAAAAAAGTAATACTCAAGTTCATAAGCTTTAGTTTTAAGAAACTGGAATTCAACATTTCTAATAATTTCTTTAAAAAAAAAAAAAAAAAAGATTTTGAACTGATATATATTCTGTACTTTAAACTGATTCAGTATTCAGTTGCCCATTGTCAACAGGAACCTTTTGGCTTTAGTGCTTTTTGCCATATACTTCAACAACAGCATGAGAGGTTGGGCAGCTCTTCATCATCACAACTGAGACTCTACCATTGCAGTATCAAGTCTCAAAACTTTTTCTAGAAGGACAAACCCAGGACATCCAGGATTGGACATCCTCACCTGTGTTGTCCTTTAAGACCATGCAAGGAAGCTTTGCACATAGGAATGCCATAAAGTATTTTCAAGACGTGTCAGTAGAATTCAACTTCATGCCCTCTGTTACATGCTATGAAGAGATGATTCTGTTGGGGTCAGGTGCAGCACATCATTGCAAGTAGTTTTACTGAAGCAGACACACAGAATGATATTATGTCTTAGTTCTCTTTGGGCTTCTTGTTGGAGTGCAGAAGAGATCTGGAGTCAAGTGCAGTGTAACGTATGGCACTATGGCTTTGCTGCATGGCACAATCCAGACATTGGTGGAATGGCTGGAGCTCTGCATTAGTAGAGTGTATTGGGTCTCTGGAACATTTACATTGCAAACTCTTAAGCTTTCCAGTTCTCCAGGTATAGTTTATTTAGGGTTTAGTTTCCTTGTCAAGTATTTTTAAGAAAAAGTTAATTGGAGACTGTGAAGTAATGAAGAGGACAAGTTAGTGAAGGAGATTTACTGAGTTACCGTTTGATAAATGAAGTGCAAACAAGCTATTTTCGTTCCAGAAGAGCCAGATGTTCAGTATTTCATCTGCAAATTAAGAAAATGGGCTACGTTTGCAGACTCTGGGGCTGTATCTTGCAAAGAAGGGATTTTGAAAGAGTATCCTGGAGTCTTGAGAAATCCATGGAATGTGATGGAGGCAGTGCAGAGCTGGAAGGCTGGATGCAGTCCTTGGACAAGCAGGAATAGAAAAGGGAAAGGTTTTCTTCTGTGTAAGAATGGCTAAATCACTTCTCAGTTTCATGTTTTAATAAAAACCATAAATTGGAGAGGTCTCAAAGATCCAGGAGAAACTGGGAGAGACCAAAACCTTCCAACATAGAGATGCACATGGTGCTTAATCTCTTATCGAGCTGAATGAAGTGTTGTGTAATTGGACTTTAAGGGCACAGTAAGAAGAAAAATCTCAATTTTCAGGATTTTTCAGTCTTAACATCCAAATTGAAACAATAGTCAGTGTGGGTTTCCTTCTGGCTAGACACGAACACTTGTATTTGAGCACATTAACTAGATTTCCTATTGAGAGAAATAAGTGTTTTGGGACTGTAATTTATCTTGTCCTAGGGCAGATGTGTGAGTGGGGTCAAATGAACCATGCTGCAGAAGTCCCTTTGTCTGTACCTTGACAGAATGATGTGTGTAGTAAGTTTGGTGAGAGGGATATTTCTCCTGGTGTCCAACTTGACATTTAGGCTAGACAAATTCCATCAAGAAATAAGACACAGAATTTTAACGATGTAATTATGTGCTGAAATAATTCAACTGATGCTTGTGACAGATTGTCCATGACTGGAAATATTAAAATCAAGATGAGATGTTTCTGTAAAAGCTGTGCTCTGGTTCAACCACAACCATGGAATTTCATGGTTCCAGTTCAAGGAAATTTGCAGGGGCTGATATGCAGCAAAGTTAGATTGGATGGTGCTGCCTGGCCCTAAGAGCTGGGAACTGTGCTTCACGTGAAGCTGAACTCTTCAGTTCTTCACAAGCACCGTAGAAATGCAAATCCACTTCTCGTGCAGGTCAGTAGCTCACCCAGTTGGAATTCTTAATGTTTGGGTGCATAGTTTCAGAGGACATCATTTGAAAACATGTACTAAATTCCCTATCTACATACAGCAGTTCTGCTTCAGAGATGCTATTGTCTGTTCCTTTTCATTATTTTTGTGTTATGCGACGTAGTCTAATCTTTTTTTAAAATACATTCCAACTATGTCACTTCTTGTTTTTTTCTGAAGGAGCTGTTTCTTACATACTTACAGGAATCAATTTTAAAAATAAAATTTTTGATAGCTATTAGAACAGGTAGATAAATCAATTTTTCCAAATCCGCCCTTTGAGCCATTGTTTATATATACAGTATCTCTATACATTCTTATAAATAGGATCATAGAATCATAGAATGCTTTGGGTTGGAAGGGACCTCAAGGATCACGAAGCTCCAACCCCCCACCAGTGCAGGGCCACCAACCTCCACATTTCAGAGCAGCCCAGGCTGCCCAGGGCCCCATCCAACCTGGCCTTGAAAGGGATGGACGGGGCATCCACAGCCTCTCTGGGCAGCTGTTCCAGCACCTCACCACTCTCATGGTAAAGAATATTCATATTACTTCTGCATTCTGAATAAAATGGGCTAAATCCACCACCTTAATTAGAGTAGTGGAAATAACAAGTTATTTCCATTCTTCGAGTGTCTTTGGCAAATTTCCATTGTGTCAACATAATTAAGATATATTAATATTAATCTGGTAAGTGCTGCAACTTTACATAGTGGAAAAATAAAATAAAAAAGACCATGAGAACATTTTTCAATATCAGTTTCGATTTTAATACTTTATATTGTTGTGAAAAGTTATAAAAATGTGTTATTATTTTATTACCCCATTAAGAAAACAACGCAGCAACAGATGCTTGTTACCCTGATTTTCTCAGTCTGTTTATGAGGATGTTTTATCAAAATGGGTCTTTTAAAAGTTATAAAGATGTAATACTCTCCTAAATTAGGCCATAAATGCCTAATGTGGAAAACTAATACATTTTATTATTTTTCAAGTATGGGTTTATGTATATTAAAATATGCAGCTGTTAGGAAGTCTGGAGTGTGTATAACAGAAACATATTGCATTACAAGATGTTAGTGTCTCTCTCTGAGTATGTACATTCTTTATGCATATACCCACACAAGTTTTTGGCTTGTGGAAGAGACTGCATTAACATTGTGGCTCAGTATTATTTTCTAATATCATGGATTATTTTTTATGTATGCACATAAATGCAGGATATACAAACCATGTACACGTATTTTTACTCTGTATTTCCCCAAACTTTTCCTGCAGCCACATACACAAATTGAGCAGGTAGATGTAAAATGTGCATGTAAATAACGTTAACTAACAACGTCAGCATTTATACACTATGTTTCTGAAAAATGGCAGATGCTCCTTTACTGGGAGATTATCACCTGGTTTAAATCTCACTCTGTCTTCCATGCCAGGCAGCTAGAATGTGATTTGTGGCAGACGAGGGACTGTTGCAGGTAGCACGGTGACCCTGGCTGCTGGAAGAGATCTTACAATTGGAAGGATTTTCAATTTTCTCCATAATATGAAGTGAGCAGTCCAGAAGGTGAAGTTCCTGAACTTCATACTTAACATGTCCGCTGATAGAAGCCTTTAAGGGTCACAAGAATAATGTGTTTGAAGGATACATCAAATTTTGTGGTAATGACAGGAGCGCACACATCTACAAAACTACTTTACTGTCATTGAAATACCTCTTTATTTCCAGCAGTTCCCCATCTTTTACTGACGAGCCTGGAACTGGACACAGTACTCCAGGTGTGGCCTCCCTAGGGCAGAACACAGGGAGATAATCACCTACTCACCCTTCTGGCCACTCTCTGTGCAATGCACCCCAGGATCCCATTGGTCTTCTTGGCCACAGAGCACCCTGCTGGCTCACAGCCAACCTGTTGGCCATCGGGACACCCAGGTTTTTCTCTGCAGAGCTCCTCTCCAGCAGGTCAGCTCCTCACCTGTATTGATGCATGTGGTTATTCTTCCCCAGGTGTAAGACCCTTCACTTGCTCTTGTTGAACCTTATCAGGTTCTTCTCTGCCCAACTCTCTGCCTGCCCTGGTCTCTCTGCATGGCAGCACAGCTTCTTTAGTGTATCAGCCACTCTTCTCAGCTTTGCATTATCAGCAAACTTTCCACAGGTGGACTCTATCCTTCATCCAGGTCATTCATGAAGTTGTTGAAAAGGACTGGGCCCAGCACCGACCACTGGGGATCACTAGTTATGGCCTCCAACCAGACTGTGCTGCTGATCACAGTCCCCTGAGCAATGCCAGCCAGCCAGTTCTCAAGGCACCTCACTGTCTGCTCATCAGTCCTGCACTTTCTAAGTTTCCTAGTAAGGATGTTGTGAGAGTGGCAGGAGCTGTGCTGTAGCCAAGATACACAACATCCACTGCTCTCCCTGCAACTACCAAGCCATTTATGACATCATAGAAGGCTGCCAGGTTGGTCAAGCACCATTTCCCATTAGTGAATCCATGTTGATTACTCCCGATCATCTTTTCTTCCACATGCTAGGAGAGGACTTTAGAATAAGCTGTTCCATTCCCTTCCCAGGAATGGAGGTGAGACTGGCTGCCTGTAGTTTCCCAACTCTTCCTTCTTGCCCCTTTTGAAGACTGCCGTGATATTGGCTTTCCCCCAGTCTTCAGGCACCTCTCCCACTCTCCATGACCTTTCATAGATGATAGAAGGTAGTTTGAAAATCACTTCTGCCAGATCTCTCAGCACTCATGGAGGCATCCCATCAGGTCACATGGATCTGTGTTTATCCTGTTTGATTAGATGCTCTCTGACCAGATCTTTCTCAACCAGATTCCTTTCTCCAAACTCTCTCTCTTGTTGTCCTTGACCTCCTTTGACAGATTTAATTCCAGGTGGGCCTTAGCCTTCATAGTTGCAACCTTACATGGCCTGACAACATTCCTGTATTCTTCCCAAGTGGCCAGACCCTTTTTTCACATTCTATAAATTTTCTTCTTCCATTTGAGTTTCTGGTAATCATAGAATCATAGAATGGCCTGGGTTGAAAAGGACCATAGTTTCAATTCCCCCCGCTATTTGCATTGTTGCCACCCTGCACATATTTCTATCGTATTTTTTTTTAAGTATATATTTTTTCTGGAGAATTGAAAGGCTTGCTGTCTTTTCTTACTGAACTAGAAATCCTGATTTTGTGTGCTGTGACTTATTTGGTTGGACCAGAGACACCTGAATGATGTGGTGCGATATTGTACTCAGGGTGGCTTATATTAAACTTCTGACCTATGTTGGGCTCCACTGTTGCGTATCCTGTGGGATCATTCCACAGGGAAGCAGCTGAAAAAGGAGTTTTGCAGAAAAGGCCCTGGGATCTTGGTGGACATCAAGTTGGTTATGTGCTGGCAAATGACTTGATGGCAGAGAAGGCCAATGGTATCCTGGGTTGCACTGGGCATAGCTTTCCCACTGAGGTGAGGAAGGTGATCCTCCTCCTCTACTCAGCCCTGGTGAGGCCTATCTGGAGTGCTGCATCCAGTTCAGGGCTCCACCGTACAAGAAAGACAGGGGATTGCTGGATCAAGAACAGTGAATGGCCTGAAAGATGTCTAAGGGCTTGGAGGATCTGTCACATGAGAAGAGGCTGAGACAGCCAGGATTGTACAGCTGGAGATAGGAAGGCCTGGGGGGACTTTATCAAGGCCAATAAATATCTGAAAGGCAGAATGAAGGAGACAGATCCAGACTCTTCTCAGTGAAAAGCACAAGAGGTAGCGGGCACAGAGCAAATGCAAGAGCTTCAACTTAAACATGAAAATAGCTTTCACACTCAGAGGGCAGTTGGAGCAGTGGCACAGGTTGCCCAGTGCAGTTGTGGAGTCTCCATCTGTGGAGATACTGTAAACCCAGCTGGATTCCACTCTGAGCACCATGCTCGAGGTGACCCTGCTGTGGGCAGAGGGTTGGAGCAGATCTTCTCCAGAGGCACCGTCCAGCCTCAGTGATTCTGAGAAGTGTAGTATTGTTAGGACTGTGGTTAGAAATTGCATAATTTCAAGTTTTCTGCCTTCTCATCATTTTCTTGATACATTCAGTGTCTACATCAGCCTGCTTGCATCCAAAGAGTGTGAAAGCTCAGTTATTTGAATTCTGGCTTAGGCCTGGGTTCAGATGCACCCATTATAGTTAAAATCATGCTGTTACACATTTGCCTCTCTTCTAACCATGTTAAGAACTGCACACAAAGCCTGCAGGCCGTATAGTTTCAATTAACCTAATTGATCACAGTGGCTGTGCTGCCAACCACCAAAGTGTTGATAGGACTTCACTGGAAGCTCAGCTATTCTGTCATCATCTGGTCTCAAAATGTAGTTAAGATGAGCCTTCTCTTTCAGAACTTTTATGAAATCTTAAATTCAAGCCAATATGCAAAAGGCTCAATTTGTTGTCATTTTCTGTTTCTCAAGTTTTGCCACTAAGTGGCTCACTGGGATGTCCTGAACCTAATTTACATTAACTGAATAGTTTCTATCAAGACAGCAGACATAGCATCACTACCAGGGATTCATGGCCGACAAAAGAGTTTAGTCCTTTGCCCAGAGGACTTTGTCCTTCTGAAAAGATCAGAGGTGAGCATTTACAACACTGAAAACTTGAAACTTGTTTTTCTGAGTGTGTTCCACAAGAGGCTGTTGTCCCAGTGGCTGGGATGTCAGTTGCTTCATTACAACCCGATAACGTATCTCACGGCCTGCTCCTTGCTGAGGCGTATTTCTTATTTTAGCACCGAGTTAAAGTGTTCATAACAAAGTAAAGCAAGGTTTGGTAAACAGTTATTTTATAGCTTCAAGGTTATTTTTGAGATATCTTTTATGGATGAAATATTTCAGAACGGATTTGGTTATCTGCTTGTCATTTCCTTCTAAAGAAAACTAAAAGGCATGAACACTTGTTTGTGAAGTTTCTAGGCCTGAGCTAGAATGTGAGCTAAATGTTTCTGTTTGCCTTCCCCAGAAAATTGAGCGGAATAGTTAGACCTCAAGATTCTATCAATCTGAAATGCACTTTTTTTGGCGTGCAGCCCTATTAATTGTAGTTCTCTAAATACCAGGAATACCAATCCTAGAACCGTCAGAGGACAGTTGCTCAGAATAGCATTGTCTGAACTCTCAGGTGTGCTGCTCATCCTGAGAGGGCAGATTCCTCCTCCAGAACCACATCCTAAAGCTGGACCAGGCTGCAGGGCCACCCACATGCTGCTCACAGCACAGACCAGATGGCTGCAGCTGTGCCACTTGGCTTGTGTTGTAGGAGGGTACTGCTGATGCTCATTTAAACATTAAATACGTTTGAAAAAACAGCAGTATTTGGGGGTAACAAAGCATTGTAGGATGCGCTCACACAACACAGGACGCAATCTGCTGCTTCAGCTGCTGTGTGGTCTCAGAAAGCTGCAGCAGTTCTCTGCATTGCCGTTATACCATCAGCCTTTGGAGGTGTCATGTTCTTGTCATCCACCCTCTAAAGAAAGGAGTATACTTTCCTGAACTGTTTCCTTTCCTGTCCATTTATCTGTTCCTGTTCAGAACAGCCACACGTTGTGAACTGAGTATCTCCTGTCTGCAACCAGAGACCTGTGCACCCCTGTTCCTAAGAGAGAACTTATGGATCTAAGCTGTCAGAGCATGGAGGGGTGGCTTGCAGGACACATTCTGTTCAGCATAGTAGTTCAGAATCAGCGTCACGTGATCAAATAAATTCTGCCATTTTATATGGTTAAAATGAAGCACTCATTTTCCTAACAGCAGGTTTGGAATTCATCCTAGGAAATGCAGATCTGTAGAAGGCACGTGCAGAAATGCATCTCCTTGTAACAGTGTATTACTGGCTGCAAATGGAGACGGGTCTGAATAGCTCAGATTGAATCATAGAATCATAGAATGGCCTGGGTTGAAAAGGCCCACAGTGCTCCTCCAGTTCCAACCCCTTGCTGTGTGCAGGTCGCCAACCAGCAGCCCAGGCTGCCCAGAGCCACATCCAGCCTGGCCTTGAATGCCTGCAGGGATGGGGCATCCACAGCCTCCTTGGGCAACCTGTTCCAGTGCCTCACCACCCTCTGGATGAAAAACTTCCTCCTAAAACAGAGGCATGTCTGTCATCTAGAATGACAAAAGCTAATTGAGATGAACACATTTTCCATAATCAGAAAAGACTGTGATATCTTACTGTTAATTTAGGTAGAAGGTGTGATGAATTAAACAGCGCTGTGGTGAATTATAGTAGAATCGTTGGAGTGCAAACTGAATATTCATTTGATTAAAGCCAATATATGAAGAATTCATGCTATTTTATATTGAGAATACTGTTTTCAGGCTATTTTTGCTTATCTCAGTACTCATTAGTCATCATAAAAGTGTTTTTTGGTTCTGTTATACTTCCAAATTTCCTTACCAGTTCTATAGTGACATTTTAATATTCATGTAAAGATATTTTCTTTCCATTGTCAATGAATGACAAATACAAAAGCAGATTTTGAAAAGGAGGGTAAAAGAGGAGCTGGAACTTACTATATCAAAAATATTATTAAATTTACTAAAAGAAGTAAAATAAATACTAAGATTTTTTTTTTCTTTCTCAATTACAGCTATGGGAGATCTCACTTACAACCATTAGTAGTAAAACTATTTTAAGGTAAAAGTTGGTCATTCTGTTTTTGGTCTTTTTTATCTCATGTTAATAGTAGCTATTTGAAAACTCTAAATAGATGGAATATTTTAAAGATAATTTTCAAAATTTTTAGTTGCAAAAAGCACTGTGCAGTGTTATTCCATCCCATCCTCATGTGTCAAGAGCTCCATGGAAAACAACAAAAAAAAGCATTTTAGATGTATGCTTAATATCATTCAGATTCAGTGTAATGAACACAGACGTTTACTCGCAAAGCAAAAACCCAAATCTCATCTAGCACTTGATCTAGCAGCTGGCAACCCTGCCTGTGGCAGTGGCTTGGAACTTGATGATCCCTGAGGTCCCTTCCAACCCAAGCCAATCTGTGATTCTATAATTCCATGATTTATGATTCCATGAAATGCATATAAATACAGAAGAAGATAGCACTCAGAAGTTTCAAGTAACTGGTGGATTTGGAAATTCATGATACTGTTGGAGATTTCTACCGTTTTTCATCACGTCTGTTAACATCTTGCCCAAAGGCTCTTCATGAGAATTTGAAACCTCCTTGAGCTGATACTCATGCTGTTTCAATGCAAGTCTCATTTTAGATGTGCGAGGTGGATTACAATGCATAAGTTTTAGTCAAGAACCATGATGGAGAAGTAGAATTAGACTGAAATGGTGAAAGAGTGATCAAGAGGGACGTGTCAGTGCTGTGGGTACACATCACTGCCTCAAGCTGGTGCAAAAATTACCTAAAGAAAATATAGAAAGTAAGTGTGTGAAGACTAAATTACTGCTTGCCTTGGAGAAAAGGAGTGGATAAGTAGGAAGTAGGTCTCCTAAATGGAGGTCCTAAAGGGGTGAAAAGTGGAAGGTGAGGAGAGGATAAAGCTGTGGATGCTGTAGGAAGCCATTGTTTTAAGGACATGGTTTTGGACTTGGTGATTTTAAGGTCTTTTCCAACCTGAGCAATTCTGTGATTCTAAGGATACATAACTGACCAAGTGAAAATTATCTAAATAAACCACAACAAATAGGCTTTTCCTGCACCCATGAGTTTTGATAATAAAGCCACCCTTATGTGTCTTGGTGAAGGTTGTAGAGGTGGCAGCTGTTTCAGTGAAAGAAATTTCTGATAGAATGGATCGTTTAGGTTTTGTTGCTAATGGGCTCTGCTGATGTGAACAAAGCTCACTAAATATACAGACATAACTGTTCTTATTTATATGCATAATATAAATTTCACATTGTATAATAGCTGTAAGACAATCCAGAGCATTTCCGGGGGATTATTGCACATCTTGGGTAGTTGAAGTCATCCAGCCTTTTGGCTTCATGCCTTAAAGCACTACCAGAGACATGTTATAATCGTCCAGAAATGCACTGCCTGTTGCAAATTACAGCTTAAGCCAAAATGTTCAATCTATTACACATACACCCAAAGTATACAATTTAACCAGGTAGTGTGATGTACGTGCTTTAAAAAAATTCTAAGTATGGAAGTGTTCAATATGTTTTTCCACAAGTTGGTGAGAATTTTCCTACCCATCCAGAACAACTCCAGAAAGTCCTTTCCAAGTCACTTTCTTTTCTGTTTCATCTCATTTTCATAATCCTTGACTTTTCTCTCTTTTCCCACTTTTTTGGGTCTTTATTTTGCAATTCTGCCCTATCTGAATAGGTAATTTAGGCTCTTTGTGGGATCCCTGAAGGATCCTGTATGCCTTCAGGTATTCAAGCATGGGATAGAATTATAGCAATTGGGTGTATTGGATGTCACAAGTAGTATTCAAGATTGAGCAGAGAAAACTGAAGGAGGACTATCACTAAAATTCTAGCACAGTCACTACTTTATCTCTCCAAATTACACTCCACAGGCAGAGTTTTTCCCATGGTGGATCTTTACTTGATCTAAATATTCATATAAATATCAGTTTTTCAACCCAGGCCATTCTGTGATTCTGTGCGTGTCACCGTTTCCTTGTCTCGTTTTGCATGGGTTGTCCCTGTAGGGTCTCCTGTTTACCTTCTGCATTTTTCTGCTTTTCTCTTGCTCTGTAACCTGCTGTCCTGCACTGTGCTCTTTCACCCTAACTAGCAGGCATCTCAGCCTGATGCTCTCATTGATTCTGTTGTTACCAGCCCTGGGATTGTTTGCTGAACGAAGAAAGGGATTTCCAACAAGAAGGGGTTAAGATGAGGGCAGCCACACACACCTTGTGTTGTTTCTTTTTCCCAGCCTACTTGTTTTTGTCAGACAGAACAACAAGCAGAAAGCAAATTACAATGTTTTCAGATATTAACTGTAATATTATGTCTTCTTCCTTGTGGGCAGCTCTACTCCAAATGGCAGGCTGCCCATCGTAATGCACAAGGACACTGCTTTTCTGGGAGGCTGTGTCAGATAAAGCAGTTGGGTTTTCTGAAAGTGGAGATTTTTTTTTCTCCTCCTCGACTGGAACGAGACCTTATCAGCACGTAAACACAGCCTGAATGGCAACATAGATACCTATTTTGCCTCATGTTCTGCTTCTTCAACAAAGCTTATTTCTCATGTGGCTATTAAAATAATAGCTTTCAAGTTAGAAAGTATGCTTGTTTGTGCTGCAATTATTAAAGTCTCAATTAGGACACTTTGCTTGCTATCTGGGCTGAGGTTTCCAGAGGATTCTGGGGATCTGCCTGCATGCAGCTCTGTCTGCAGCAGCAGATTGACTGTGTCTGTGCTCTCTGACACTAATATGCACTGAATGGTCCGTGTCTGTATTAACCCATTTTCTTATCCTCCAAAATAGGGTGGCTGTCTCTCAACTACCTTCTTCAAGTGGCTGTGGCCTCTGTGTACCTCTGAGCTTCTGTCCCTGCTGTGAGGAGCAGTGTTTGGCATGGGCAATTCAGGTGTGAAGGGAATTTCCAGGGCCCAGGGATGTTCCCTGGCACTCTTTTGACTTGACGTTGAGTCTTAGTGTCTTAGGCTGCTCTGAATGCTGAGATCCTACACCTTGGCCTTCAGAACAGCCAAATGCTCATATGTGCTGTCTGACCTGGAAAAATCAGTCCCTCCACAGCCTGTGGCTTGGACAGGTACACTCCTTGCTGGGTAAAGAACTGGAGGGCCAGGTCCAGAGTGTGGTGGTGAATGGAGTTCCATCCAGCTGGAGGCTGGTCACAAGTGGTGTTCCCCAAGGGTTGGTACAGGGTCCTGTCCTGTTTAGTATCTTTATTGATGACCTGAATGAGGGGATTAAGTGCACCCTCAGTAAATTTGCAGATGATACCAAGTTGGCAGGAAGGGTCAACCTGCCTGGGGGTAGATAGGTCCTAACAGAGGAATCTGGGCAGGATCATGTTAGATCCCCTTCAACAGAATTCAGTATCTGATGCATTCTTTCATAGGATGATCATTAATAATATTAAAAATTGAAATAGGGCTAGTATTAAATGAGGAGGTTGGTAGCCCTGCCTGGGCAGGGGGGTTGGAGATTCATGATCCTTGAGGTCCCTTTCAACCCGGGCCATTCTGTGATTCTGTGATACTGTGATGGTAAGAAGTGGTAATAAGGAAAATATAGTCTCTGGTATACCCCAATGTGTGCTGTACGTTTGCTATACGTTATCAGTATATCTGCATTTTTACTCTGTATTTTTGTTATATGTCATCCATAGTCAGAAATCTGTTCTAGAGCTTCTGTTGGGTTTGGACTGGGGCACTGGATATCTATTGCATATACCTGTAAGGTTTTTGCATAGTCCTTCTGTGTTCTGTGTCTCTATAATGAAGTCACAGTGCTTGGTGTGTGACATCAAAGGCTGTTGCTGGGAGAATGAGCATAATTTAGCAAACAATGACCACATTGTATGTGTAAGCAGGGAAAGAGAAGGCAAGTTATAAAACAGAACCTTTTTTATTTATACAGCAATGTTTTAATAACCAGCAGATTTTTCGAAAAGGGCTGGAAAAATAGTTAAAAGATAAATGTACTTATGTTTCAATGTTGTGATTTTTTGACAAGTACAAAAGTTCATTTCTGCATATTAAAATAAAAAATGCCCTTGGATTTCAGGTGGGATCCTGAGAGAGCTATTGCCATGCCCAACCAATGCTTATGGTGCGATAGCTGTACTACAAAGGGCTCCTGTGTATTTCGGGAGTCAGGATATAGCACTCTTCTGACAGAAAATGCCCTGTAATGAAGGTGAAGCTTAGACATTATTTATTCCAAATACAGGATCTTTCCATCTGCGAGTTTATAGAGGCTGAGAAATTGTTGAATTTGGAGATTTGCAAATACAAATTACAAGCTTGACTCT